TCAAGAAACAATAGAGCAACGACTTTCTAGAAATGCATTTCTTCTCCAACCAAGCAATCAATTTTATCTGTTGTATACCCCGCAGCAAACTTTGCTAATACCAGTTTTATTTCTTGATTTACGATTCCGTCGATACTGAGAATGGAGAAATACCTTGTTTTTTTCTGTTTTTGTATCTGTGATTGGTAAAAACGTCCAACCGCTGAAACTATTTCCTACGCAAATTATTACACTCTTAAAAAAACAGGACCTCCAACGGTGGCCAGGGAGAGTCCATTACAATTAGAGGGTTGTTTATTTATAAAATGTATCAAGGCTGTACAAAAAGTATAACAATATTATGTGTAGTTAATCCCAACCTCGGCACTCAGGGATAAAAAAAATACTTTTCTGCAAATAGTTGTACAGTATTTGAGATTAAATCCGATTGATTTTTTATCATCTCATTTCCTCTATATTGCTAAGAAGATATAAAATATTGTGTAATTTCGTTTAGAGTACAGATGGGTTGAGAAGACGGAGATGGCGACATCCCTGAGACCAGCTGACGCCTCCAGACAGTCCACGCACGCCATGAGTGACATTTCTGATTGATCTTTTAACTCCAACGCACAACAATGTAGACGATAGATCGAGTACAAAAGATTTTTTAATACTTTTTTAAAAATTGTAGCAATTCAATCGAAATTGTTTCTTACAATTCTTAGGTCGTTCTCGTCCACACACACACACACACACACACACACACATATATATATATATATATATATATATATATATATATATATATGCTGACGTCCTTGGTGTTACTCAATGTGTCCTTGGTGTTACTTAATACGCCCTTGGTGTTATTCAATATGCCCTTCGTGTTACTTAATACGTCCTTGGTGTTATTCAATATGTCCTTGGTGTTACTTAATGCATCCTTGGTGTTACTTTATACGTCCTTGGTGTTACTTAAAACGTCCTTGGTGTTACTTAATACGTCCTTGCTATTTAATATGTCCTTGGCGTTGCTTAGCGAGTCCACGGTGTTACTTAATACAGGCTTGGTGTTACCACAAGTCAGCAAGTATTAACTTGGAAGTTAGCGTTAATGGTAAATTGTAAGTATGCCACACCAATCATAGTGCATCACTTCCCACTGATTGATTAGAGTGACGTGAACGAAAGCCCGGGATGGCTAACGGTAAAGGCCTCAGTGTTACCGCTTTATCGTTGTAGTTACCAGAGGTCATTCTTAAAAACAATCAGGTAAATACACATCGCATAGACGTAAACCGGCAGGCAAAAGAAAGTTACACTTGAACGTTGGATTTTGACGAAAGAAAATACAAACGTTATCGAAAACCATCTTCCCGAGGCAAGCGAGTTAACTGACTATTAAAGTCCAGTTTCCACCCTTGCAGAACTAGGCTGGTATTATGGAGTTACATTTTGGCTGGACTAACGAGTCTATGCATAGTCCAATCAAAATCGCGCACCGAAATCGAAGTCCGGTTCGTAAAGTGTCATGCAGATTTCGGTCGACTGCAGGATTTGCAAAACATGTGTACCGCAAACTCGTTGTCAACAGATATTTTCTAAATCTTTTCATGCTTTAAATCAAGGTGCTCACGTGATTTGATGCACTTCGCGATGTAAGAATCGTTTTATCAGAATATAGATCTTGATTATCAATCAGATCGTCTTGACTGGGCGCCACCGTTTTGTTTGAAGCAAATGCAAGTGATACGAGAGGTTGAATCTGATTGGCCAATAGGAGAGGCATAGAAAGGACATAACTCGTAATAGCCACTGGTGGCGCTACGATCGAGCCCAGGAATTCCAGCCTAGTTCGGGAAGGGTGGAAACTGGACTTTTAAAGTCAGTTAACTCTCTTGCCTCGGGAAGATGTCGAAAACAGTCGCCTAAATACCACAGCCTTTAGGTTCAAAACATAACTATGACACCGTATCAAGAACATCGACCAACCATTGTTCCATGATGGAAACTTTTGTCCAGCAGGTTAGTGAACGTCGTAGATCTGCGTCACTTGAATGAAAGTCTCTGTCTGGTCCTGGCCGCACAGTTCACACAGTAGCTCACCTTGTCAGAGACAGGATCCGCTGGTCGTGTGTTTGAATCCCAGATTTGTTCTGATTATGATCCTTGGATCCTTGCACATTCACGTAGAGACGTTCCCTGGTCCATAAGCCGACCCGGTGTCCCCCTCCGCGATATTGCTTGAATATTGCTATAAATGGCGGAAAGTCACACTCACTCACTCACTCATCGACAGTTGGATGTAATGTCAACGTGAGCATTTCCGTTTTACGTGCTGATGTCTCAAGTAGCTGATTTTGATTGGCTGGAATTGTTTCAAATACATTAATTGTTGGTATCGCCCAGAAACACTTTCCAGGTCGGTTCAGCCGTTGTAAGGCATGGTCTTGTAACTCCTGACCACATCGATCTGTTATTCCATGTCTGTACAGAGGACGACGGGCGACCCGCCGTATTGTAATGAGTGAGTGAGTGAGTATGATTTTACGCCGCTTTAGCACTATTCTGGAAATATCACGGCGTGGAACACCAGAAATCAAATGAAATGGGCTGTGTGGAGAATCGAACCCGGGCCTTTTGCTTTAACCACAAGGCTACCCCATCGCCATGTTATAAGATCTCAGGTCTACGATCTTTTAATCTAACGTTTAATCAACCATTAGATCGTTAAATCGAGTTGTGTTTTTGTTTTTTTAAATATATTCGTTTTACGCCACCGCCAGTAATATTCCAGCTTTATTCGCGGTGGCAGTCGAGTCTAGGCCATGTAAACTAGTGGTCGATAGTATGACCAAAGCCCATGTACGTTGACACAGACTCGACCAAGTCTAATTGTCCGATCTCAGTCGGATCCCACGACACACAGAAATACCATGGAGTCATTATCACAGTATCACACCAAACTCAAACACAGATGTACACAAATTTTATCTTTAATTTCATGATGACATCATACATACAACATTATTTTGAAATGTGCGCATCAACTTCATTTAGCATTGAAATTGTGTGCTGAAATACACATGTGTCACATAGCACTAGGGGATGTAAACTTCACGTAGAGACGTGAGAAAATGCGAGATTTACAACATTATGGAATATGTACACCAGAGGGCGCCACGGCTTGATGAACATCTTAGGATACACGGAAAATGGTTCAGATCACTTCGTCCAAATGCGAATCGGAAAAAAGGAACTGATTAAATCACGACAAGGAGTATTATAGATAACAACGTCTTTAACACACATACAACGTTTCAGGACGACTAAACGCCCCCACATCATTTAAGGAAGATGCAGAAAGTAGCCCTGAATGTGTATGTACAATAAAGAAGTCGTTACCCATAACCCCCCTTGTCTTGATTACTCCAACTTCAAAATGCCTGTAAAGTCTTGATCAAATCAAGCACGCAGGACCATCTAAAAATACATTTATCCTTTGAAATCTGATGGCGATAAATAAATGACATAGCTCAGTATTACAGCACTTATCCTGCTTCATAAACAGTTAATTCATAACACACAATGAACGCCCCGAATGATTGTACAGTTCCCACTGGAGGATTGACGACTGGAGCTTACACATGCTGTACTATTAGTGATAGGGCAGCAAAAACTATTCATATTTTGAGACATCTCATTTCCTATGTTTTCTTTTTACGCCCAATGGAGTCTGTTTCGGTGGAAAATCGAGACTGGTTATTTTCTGTCCTTGACGTTTCACGTCTACATCACACTGACCGAAAGGCTTGCAGATGAAACAAACTTGACGGAACTTATAAATAGCATTACAAAGTTGATTTTGGAGAAAACTGTTATGCCAATGGCGCACTTTCTTGTGAAAACGTATAATCCTTACTCGGCAAAAGTTCAGTCGTATACAGGCATCCAAAAGAAATATCCAAATTGATTCATGAAATTTGATTCGTTAAGGTGAATAATATCTGATGACAACGAAGACGTGTTCTAGCGATTCCCTCACAGAGTCGCCTGTTCGTGTTTTCTATTATTTATGACATGATACCTCTAGAAAAACATCTTTAACACAAAGCCTTTCCGACTACTTCACATGATGAAGCACTTCACTCTGTTATTATAGGTCAAGAATAATACAGTTTATGATTGCATAGACGTTATGAAATATATGCGACTGTCAAAACGATGTGACATTTCCAATTAAGCTGAGGTTTTTATGACAATAACCTTTTCAATAACATCAGACAATCATTCGTCTGTCGCCAGTTGTAAGCTTTTGGAGACAAAATATTATTAAAGAGGGCAATTTGTCAAATCGTTTCGACATTTCCAACAAAATTGTTTTGATATTTCTTGTATCGAGAACAAAATGCCAGAAGAAATTGATACAAAGATAGACAATAAACACATGGGACAGACAAAACGACCTTGACCTTAGTGATGCCCTTTTTAGTGAAGCATTAACAAACACGTATCTACCGTCGAATCAATAAAATATTTTTTCACCTTAAATCATGACATTTGAAATTAGTATATGCTTTCAGTGACGCCAACCCCCCCCCCCCCCCCCCCCCTCCCCATCCCCCACTAATCCCAAACATTGTGTACATTTTATGACCCGTTTGCTTGTAAAATCTTTTTCGTCGAAAAAATGGTCCAACGTACTCGACTTGATATATTATATTAATCCTCAAAAGCTCGCACACTGTATCAAAATGATAATTGATAAACAGAAAATATATACAACATTCGTGATAGTATTTACATGTCGTCGTTTGTAGCACTGTCAGTGTGATAGGAAACACGATGCTGTACGTTGCCTATATTTGTCTGTGATATGTTAAATATGACCTTTCTTAATCACAAAGGAAAGCTATGCTATATAGAAGAGAAATATAGACATACACATACGGCAATGACGCATACACGCATTCGTGCGCCGAAACACTTCCGAGTTGTAAATACATATAAACAGTACCCATGCCAACAATAGACAAAGCCCTATTCAACAAATGAATAGTTGAATTAATAGCTTACGATTTCAAACTTAAACTTCAGGTTTTTCACAATGTTCTTTTTGAGCAAACGCATGCCTTTTGGCAAACTAATACTTGAGCTAAATTGTTGTGATAAGTTTTCCAATTTCGTTCACATCATCTCCTACAAAATATTTTTCGATCTGGTATCAATCAACGGGCAAATCAACCACATCTTCCCGAGGCAAGGGAGTTAACTGGCTATAAAAGTTCAGTTTCCGTCCTTGCCGAACAAGGCTTGAATTCCGGAGTTACAGTTTGGCTGGACTAACGAGTCTATGAATAGCCAATTCAAAATCACGTAACGAACCAGACATCCGGTTCGTAAACATGGATTTTAACCTGCAAATTGCAAAACATGTGTACCGTCAACTTGGCGTCGACAGATGTTTTCCAATTCTGTTCATGTTTTTAACCAAGGTGCTCAAGTGATTTGATGCACTTCACGAGGTAAGACCCGTTTTATTACAATATTGATCTTGATTATCTTGACTGGGCGCCGCCATTCTGTTTAAAGCAAATGCAAGTGATAAAAGAGATGGTGGTGGCGTTACGACCAAGCCACAAAATTCCAGCCTAGTTCAGCAAGGGCGGAAAGTGGACTCTTATAGTCATTTAACGAACTTGACTCGGGAAGATGATACACCATAACAGATATAGGGTATGAAGGTAACTTCCGGTTCCGGTAAGCATCGCACCGTGTTTCCGGTTCCGGTAATTCATACAATTTCTATCCATTTTGATTTTTCTAAAAAATCGATTTTTTTATTATATCGATAGAATCGCAGAGACGATGTGAAGGATATCGGTACGGCATTGGAATGATTTCTGGCAGTGTTATCTTTTTGGGGAGGGAATAATAATCGCCCTCATGACAGCAAATGACGAAATATATACAATGGAGACTCTCAGGTAATGTACATTGAGTAATTTTTTCGATACAAAACTTGTACACACACTCATAAATCACTTGAATACGTGGAACTCTCGGTGCGGAAATGTACATGTTACCCTCCTTGGTGTTAGATGTGACAGTATCCGTCCGTTAAATTTGGGCTTTTTCGTAACAGAATGAAAAAGGAACATTCAGAGCACCTAATCGTTACTATACAGAATTATGGCACTTAATTCACGGATTACAGAATTGTAATTCTACTTCAGTTTCTTCAAGATATATGTTTGAATTTGACCCTTACGATTCAGCAAGATCCGATTCATGGTCCACACAAATAGTATGCACCTATACAGTAGAACACTTTAAATAAAATGTCAAACTGTAACTTATATCTGAAATTCATAAATCATAAACTTTTATATCGGTTGGCGTGATCCACTTTTTCCTGAGCACTGATTGTCTCCCCTTTGTATTTCTTCATATATGACAGAAACCCCGCATCTCAATACGATCCAAATGCGCTTGAATCATTCGGAAGTATTGTCCGTAGTCCCGCGAGATTTCGTCCATTCACACGCGTCCACACTCATTCTTCCTCGACTGTCCTGCAGTTCAATATTTCACAATAAATTACTCGTAGCTTTGGATCCACACAGATGACAACACTCAGCCCTCTTTCAAACCTGCAAAAACAATTTCGTTTCACTCCCCGAGGATGAACGTTCGCTGTCTGTACACCTGTTTACTTTGCCACAACTACTGCACGTGGTCGGTGCGGCCTTCCTGGGGTCGCACTGTTTCTGGTGTAACGCCGGAACATGTTCATGATAATGATATCCCTCATAATAATCATTTCTCCTCCTCAACAAGTACATCGCGAATATGATGAGAGCAAGGAGCACACACACGCCGGCCACAGGGACTGCGATATAGATAGGGTTGATGATTTTGGCTCCGTCGGCATTGGTCCGGAATAACGGATCAGAATCCGGGTTACTGCATCTAGAGGGCGCTTCATCTATTTCCGTTTCCGTTTTCTGCGTGATGACTTCTTTTTCATCTGTAAAAATACAAAATCATGTTTGTTTGATTGTTTGTTTGTTGTTTAATATTAATATTACAGCTATATAACGGCGGTCTGTAAATAATCGCGTCTGGACCAGACAATGCTGTGATTGACATCATGAGCATCGATCCACGCAATTGGGATACATTTTACGTATGCTTTACACACTTTGATGCCAGGACATTTAAAAAATGTAAACGAAATTATAGTGGCCAGTTTACCTGTGATATCACCGAGATCAATTTGCATGTATAGTTGTATAGTTGTAAACAGTGTAAAATGACTGAAACAACATCTTCACAAGGCATAAAAACAAAGCCATTTTCTCCCACCATTATTTAAACATCGGTATTTCGTCTTGAAGTCGACATTATCCTGAACAGCTACACGACTGTTCAAAACAAAGTTTCCCTAGATCTCAACTGAGCATGATCGTGGCAAAGATTGTTTGAGCGCCATTAGTCCAAACAGACGCAGGGCCATATAATCGTGACCGCGACGCGAAAGTCGCGACTGGTTTCGATCGAGGAAACCTTTGCTTTGAACAGTAGTGTATGCACTAACATCAAGCCTTTTGAAAATATTACTTATGTTTTACCTATATCGGAGGGCAACGTGGGTAGGACGTTGCTGTTGCAGAAATCTTCGTCATCACAACAATACATGACGGGCCAGGGGGTGTTGGGCAGATTAGTCGGCTTCCGGTTCCCACAATTCAGCGGGGTCGGGCTGTCGATACAGCCTCTGGTGAGGACGTCATGGAGATATTCAACGTAACAGAAGTGCTCTGCGATGCAAGTTGTCTCCCCTTCCATTCGACATTCGTCTGTGTTGCATTTGCATCGGAACGATCCTGAAAACAGAAACACTTTAATAAGAAAAACATGTAGCGACATTCTCTGAACCAAATACTATGTCTTAAATACAAAAGCAAAAGTTATATTTGACTATCCAACGCGCTCTCCGCACGATGGCGGTGTATGTGATCGATCTACGCATCTGGGATACGATGACATGCATCAACCAAGTCGGCGAGCCTGACCACCCGATCCACTGAAGTACAAATACGATTTTCTGTAAAAAGCATCGAACAAAGTCTTCCGAGCAACGTAACACAAATCCATTTTCATCAGGAAGATGCACAAATCATGGCAGTTTTAACATTACATCTATAACGGTATCGGCCAAAACCTGGCTTAGATGTCTTAACTGAAACGTACACTCCCCAGCATGTGCTAAGAACCTTTGATTACAGAGGACTATGTGATCCTAAGCAAGTGTTGAGTAGTATATTTGCAGTAAATGTCATCTTCGATACTATCTGCGACCTGCTGTCACGTAAACGGCGACATACATCGTACTAGGGCCCTATGGGCTATTTTAACAGCCCCAACTATGAATACACTAATTATAGATGATATGCTACACATCGCCCCCTAATGGTCACAAAGTGCTACATTTGGCTCGGAACCTTGGGCAGTGATTTTATTGAAAGATCGGATACGTACAACTATATTTCACATGTCAAAACTGACAAGTTGCATTGCAGCAGAAAACGTTGCCGGATTTACAATCAATAACGTCATGTACATTTCAGATATGAATGAGATTTCCCAAGCTTTAAATGACAGCACTTCGACCATGTGAAAATATCTCGTGCACCTCAGCTGAGATGGACAGGAAAGAGTATGTATATTTCTCAAGAGATAAGTGTGTTTTACAACCAATCGAAACATGGCGGGTGTTCGTCTTGGGTGAAATTGATGAGCTTAACCGAAAATAGACGAGCTTGATGTGGAACTCATCCACTTGAGATAAGGTGGCCATTTCACCACGAGATAAACATGCTCGAACGTCGCTCCGACGATTGATTATCAATAACGCCCCATTCGGAACATACATGAGTGACCTTTCTGATGGATATATATCACAACTCATGCACGAATCGCCTCGAATAAAACATGGGTGGTGTTGTAAACGTTAAATATTTGGTTGTTTAGGCCTTATTGAGAAAATACAGCAGGTTTCCAATCAAATTCAAATCTTATGAACCCGCTTAGTCTGGAAATGTGACCTTTGACCTCATTCGGCGAATCTATATACAAATAGGATTATCCCCGCGGCTTTAACACGATTACTTATTCACGGTCGGTAAGATTACAGAGGAAAATAAACAGAAGGTTGTGTGGAAATATGATGCTCTGCTTGTACAACAGCTTGTCCACCTCACGACTGGGGCTCCACGTTGCTATTCCCCATACAGAGGGGGAGGAGACAAGAGATGTTTACTCAAGTTGGACCTGGTCGACATTCCACTTACACGCTTACCCTACTCAGATGTGCCGAATTGTTCCCCGAATTAACACATAGTTGTTGGCGTCTTTCAGAAAACAAGGAAACAGTTTGTTTTCTGCAACGTCTACTGCTTCCGCGTTTTCGTCCACTGTCTATCGATTAAACCCTGTCTATCATTTACTTTCTACGTCATATTGCGTGAACCGTCCATATCGTTTAACCGTCTACGTCATATTGCGTGTAACCGTCATTATCGTTTAACCGTCTACGTCACATTGGGTTAACCGTCTATATCGTTTAACCGTCTACGTCATATTAGGTGGACCGTCTATATCGTTTAAAAGTCAACGTCATATTGCGTAGACCGTCTATAAGGGCGTCTGAGTGTGCGCAAACCCGTTAATATACAACAAAACCCATTTACATCGTAGTAGTCAAGTGTCTTTATAAACATCGCTGCTATTCCCGTGGGCGTCCCTCCTGCCCTGTGATGTAAAACGAACCTGATTGGCCATCTCCTTCACCATGTAAAGCACACGCAATATACCTATTAAAACAAAAATTGAAGAGCGTTTAAAATGACCCCTCTTTGTAAAGCGAAGTTGACCCGACTGTGACGGAAGTGACGCACTTGATAACTTGCCTCTGACCCCGCAGCAGTAAAAGTGATATGTTCCGTTATTTACACCGCCAGTATATCAGCCTCGATAATTGTTGTATACATATGATAGCCACTGGTATAATTTCTCACCTTTCACCCTCAAAATGTTTGATTAACTTTTCAGCTTCACTACAATCTCCTCAGCCTGTTTCAAACAAAAAGCCATACCAAATAGCTATATTTTTTTACAAAAATTATCCTTTTTACGCTGATGCTAACCCATGTTGTCTTTCTGCGTGGACCGTGTTATCGCTGTTGATAACTCCACCAGAAGGCGCTTGGAATCATGTCAAACTTCTGAGAAATACGATATATATTCACTGATAGGATCCGCGGAGCTTCTTAATATTCAATATAAATATTAGTGTACCGTGGGACGCGATATCATTGGGTAAACACAATACTTCAGGAGTTGCGGGAATTAGCACAAATGTTAGGAAACTTAAGACCGCCTCGGTCAGCGCTGAGATGGGTGGGGTTTCCTCTCAGACTAATGTATTGATAAAGCTCAGATGAAACTCAGATAAAACGGATCGACTCTGTTGACCACTTAGTTAAACGATTGTTTGTCCAGTTAATACGTGGACGTTGTCCAGAGGGAATGACACTCGGTGGACAGTGAGAGTCTAGTGTACTTACTGAAGGTAACCCTAGCTTCTGCCCTTTACGGTAACTGACAGTTATCCCTCTGATCTCGGTCTTAAATTGTTAAAACGTTAGGATTCTTTGAAATTCGACCGACAAAGCATGATTCCCCGTATTCTTTAACTGTCTTTATATTAACTCGGAAGGTTGTGGTGATATCGTTGGCATAGTGATATTTCCACTCACACATACCCACCCACTCATTCACTTATGTTTTCCAAGCATATACGTAAGTTAAATACCGAGTTATTTTTTATTATTCTTGCAGTAACACCAACACAAGGCAACAGATAGCCCCTCCCCACCCACCCCTTTCAACAAAACATCCCCCCCCCCCCTTCTTTGAGGAGTTGCAATAAAAAGCATTTCCTTGTGGCAAATCATCAACTCCTAAAGCTATTTGTTCAATACATCCCCAAGGCGCCCCCACCCAATTCCCGATCCCCCGCCAGTCAACTTGTTCGTCCTGAAACTCAGCTGTAACAATTAGAAAATAGCGGAAAGATGCTTCTGTTGACGTCTTTCATTGCCGGATTCAAACCCAGCAACCCCGCCGGTGAAAAGACACTGTCAGGTCCAATCCATCACCACAGCGCCCACTTGGCTGGGAAAGACAAGCACGAATTTCAGTTTCAGGCCCAACCACTGGTAAAATTGCACCATATATTCCGTTCAGCGGGACTGGCCAATTTAGTTCGCGGGATTAAATTTGTCCCCCAATTTACTATTCCAATATCACGTAATTTCAAGATTCCGATCACGCGACATTCAGGCGAGGAAAACAAATATTTGAGATTCTGTTTGTAAGTATGGACATCGTATCGACCAGTGAATAGGTGCAATTATGTTCCAAATCAATATCAGATTTTTCTTTGGAACATAAACTTCAGATCCGTTTCACCCACAAAACTTGATAAACATGCTGCAAAATCTGATTTCTGTAATCTGTATCCTCAACATCTTCCATCTGTAACGCTAGATTAACATTAATACACTCTGAGCAGACACAGCATCCTCAGGATGGACTAAGATACAAACACCATTCAATACTCTTCTCCTGACATTAAACATCATTGCAGCATTTACCAACCGTTGAAAATGGTTCTCAAACACACAACCTCTTAGCTATCATTAAACCCAATAGCCAATCAACCCATCAGATTTGTCTTGAGAATCAGAAACAGTCTCCCAATCGCCCAAAGCAGACAACGAGGAAGCGAACAGCGCTTAAGTCTAGCATATATTCTCTTTGACCTGTCAAAACAAGGGATCACCATTCACAGTCTGAACCTGGCTACCAATTCCTCTTCCAAGCAATCCAATTTGCACACGACCCCACCACATTTCTAACGTTGGTATTTCTAATCTTCACCCAAATTGACCCTGAACATGAAAATCGGTTCCCTTTCAGACATCGTTGCGCCCTCTACCGGGCGAGCTGTCTGGGATACTTATTGGCGTTCATTGTAAATCTCGCCCTCTCAGACAAAGTACGTTTTTCAGTAATAGGCTTTTATGGACGCCGCTTTCGCGTCTACCCTGTCTTGTTCGAGCAATCCCTTATAGAATTATATACGGCGTTCAAAGCAAAGTAGCATATCGCTGTTATGATAGTTTTGTTTCTGCCCGTAGCGAATCTGTGTTCTTTGCACTAATAACATAACAAGTTTTTAAAGTTGTGATTTATAACGGACGTCTTAAGGGACATTGTTGGTTGTATTCTTCATCGATCATAATTCCAGGAGTTGGGAGTGTGTAATGCTATATACGTCGTCCTCGAAGCCGGTACTTTATCATACACATCGTCTGAATATTCTTAACATGTCTTTTTACTCGCTGGGTGTAATTTCGTCTGTGATTCCTGCGGAATCATTTAAAACCAGTCCCTCTGCAAATGCTCCCGCCCCGTTCCCAAGAGCGATCGTAGCGTCATGAACAGTCTTAGTGTCTGTTTAAGTTTGGGAGTTACGATCATCTTGAAGCTACGATCGCTTGGGTTTGTTTGTTTGTCTGTTGTTTAACGCCGCACTCGGCGCAATATACCAGCGGCGGTCTGTAAATAATCGAGTCTGGATCAGACAATCCAGTGATTTGACATCAGCAGCATCGATCCACGCAATTGGGATACGATGACAACCAAGGCCCGGAGCCTGACCAACTGATCCCGTAAGTCGCCTCTTACGACAAGCATAGTCGCCTGTTAATGGAAGCATGGGTTGCTGAAGACCTATTCCACCCCGGATCTTCACGGG